GTGCTTAAGTCTTCCCTCCTAGCTTCCCCCGCAAGCAACCAGAGGGGATCTTCAGAACCCAGAGCTCACCTCAACTGTGCTCAGAAATCTTTGAGTCGGTACTTTTCCCTGGCTCAGTCTCCTCTGTTTCCCTTCACTCCTCCTTCAACCCTCTCCAGTGTGCTACAACGCCACGGTTAGTTCGCTCTCCTTGGTAGTAGTTCCGCAACTGCAGAAGCAGAAGCCGAGGAAGGCTGCCCCACTGAATAATGAGCTGTAACTTGAGGCCCTCACCTCTCCCACAATGCCTCTGAAAGTCCCTTTTTTAGAATTACGGCATTGTCTCCAGAAGGCCATCTGGAAAATACATGTTATGTAATAGCCAAGGAGTCCTCTTTTCATGGTTGGTTAACACCTTAATGTTTTTGATTGTCCTTGTATTAACAAAAATAATTTAAAAAATCAAACAATAAAATTCAAATTTTGAAAAATACAATTTGCAAATTTAAATTGTTTTGAGTTCCAAGTGGTGGCTATTCTATGTGATAATGCGTCCTGAAAACAAAGGGAGGACATCTGTCTACCTCATAAGTAACACTATAACATTGACTCAGCACAATCTAATCAACTGTATGACCTTGCGCAAATCACTTCCCCCAGACTTAATTTCCTTATCCATAAGAAAAAGAGGTGGGGCTAGATAAATTCTCTCAGGTTACTTCTAGCTCTAAAAATCTTAGGATTTTTTTTCTTTCATACCTTATTTATACAAATTTTGATGTGTTTATAAACTATAGATTACTGGCACGCTGCACCTAATGTTGATCACGTTTCAGAAAATACTTTAGGTAAAACAGTGCTGCAGTGGACAATTTCGCAGAAATAGGCTAGAAGTGAGAGCTATTACAACTTTAAGAAATGTTATCAATCTACTATAAATCACAGGTTCTTAACTTTTATTATGCCATGTACTTCTCTAGCAGTCTGGTGAAATCTATGGACTCTTTCTCAGAATATTATTTTAAAATGCATAAAATACATAAGATTACAAAGGAAACAAATTATGTTGAAATATAGTTTAAAAACACACACACAAGTATTTGGACCCCAACTTAAACTCTGCTATAAATGAAAAAACAAACAAACAAAAAAACCTGGAACCCTACAGGATCCTGAGCCCATAAAACGGCTTTGCCGCACGTTGAGACAAAGGCAGGGTGAGAGTGAGCTGGGTCCTAGATAAGGTAACCACCTGGGTGTGGTTGAGCCGGGGTGGGGGGGTGGGGGGGTGGGGCGGAAGGGGAAACAAAGGTGGCCGTAATACCATAATGAATCCAAGGTGAGGGAACCATACTTCTGCTCTCCACTTGCGCTTGGGAGGTTGGTAACTTGGACCTTGATCTATGACCTAAGTTTGTTGTTCACCTAGCTTCCAGAACACAGGCGATTTGTTGCTGTCACCCGTCACCAGCCCAACATCATCTCCTGATCTGATCCTGCAATCTTTTTGTCTAAGGAAGTCCACTATCATTCTCTTGCCTGCAAAGCCCAAGAATTGGTAATCATTTGCTTTCCTGTATGTTTTCATTTCCCTTTTCCAATTCAATTAAGCCCTTCTATGTGCAAGGCACTGCTCCTTACATACTTAGAGCTTTAATAATCCATAGGAAACGTATTGAATGTTTTATATATATACATATATGGGTATATATGTATATATATACCCATATATACCTATATATGTATACACACACATATATACACATATATCCTGAATGTTATGCTATATTGATTGGTCTTGCTGATTCTTTTCTCTTCTTCCTTTTCTTAAAACAAAACAAAACAAAGTTTTTGTGATAACGCATGCACCCCCTCACCCAGGAGGAGAGGTAGGGATACAAGGGGAAATTCAGGCAATGTTAAAAAAAATCAATAAACGTTAATTTTTTTAAAAGTGGTGTGAGTAATGTAAAGTTCAGTTTTTGTTTTGTTGGATCACTATTAAGTTAGAGCTTGTCCCTGCCCAGGAATTAAGAATAGTGCCACCTGTTCAAATGCCACTAAATAATTTCAGGAAGTCATTGTCAAGCAGTCCTTAGCAAGTTCTACAAAATTCTGCATCAAACACACCTTGTTTTGATATTGTATTCTTGTGATTTGTAATGGCTGCTATTGCATTAGATCCATTTCTGCAACTGGGCCATTGCTGGTCATAATTTTCCACATAAGAGAATATCACAAAATACAATTTCACCTCAGAACTGGAAGGGACCTGAGAGGTCATCTAATCTAACATACCTGAATTGGAATCTCCTTTAAGGCGAAGGTCCCCGGACTTTTAAAATTCTCACCCTATCAATAAAACATTTTCCAGGACACACCTCCAATTTATGAATGTTTTGCCTATTTGTAAATTATACACATACAGTATTGGACTAGCATTGTAAACATTATAAAACATGCACCAAGAATAGAACTTTTTAAAGAAAGGGAAATGATGGAATGAGCAATATTTTTAAATGATTTTATTATATTCATGGTACAAAACCCTTATGGCTCTAAAATATTAGTAATGATATTTAATAAAAGCAATGTCATTAAATACTTTATTTTTAAATATTTTGTCATACAGTAGTTCAAAAGTCTGGTTCAAAGTTGAGCTTATCTTAATACTTGCTTTTAATGACTGTCATAGCCAAAAAAGATGCCTCACCAAAAAAAAAAAAAAAGTGTAGATCCAAATGGAAGAAGTCATTGTTGGCTACCCTTTCTATGTTATTCATGATACTTATTCTAAACTTTTATCCACCTCTTACGTAAAGAGTTTTGTTGAAATTGTTCCAGTAATCATCTATGTGTCTTCTCTGTGGGTATAGTATGGTTTACACAAGTCAGGTTTCAGAAGGTCCAGAGGATGTTTGTTCCAGTTAGTAAGAGAAAGGTAAAGTGTCAGGGCAGGTGGCAAAATGCCTGGATAGGTCCTGGTTTCCTTGTTGTGGATGGCCTTCATTTGCTTCCAAGTTGGGGTTTTGGGGGGATGTAAGAGGTGGAGTATTGTGGATCTGAGAGAGTAGAAAGTTCTATCCTGGCTTCCTTAAGCCCTAAGTCCACAGTGAGCAGTGGGCCCCACAATCTCATACCTCACTGACTGAAACTCACTGTTGGTTGACATTACTGTGCCTGGGGACCAGATGTTTTCTGCTGCTGCAGCCAGGCTGGAGGAGAGGGCAGGGACATGGGGGAACCAGGTGGTTTGAGCAAGTTGGGGAATGACTCTCCTGTCTGTCTAACTGGGGAGGGGCTTGTGTGACTCAATGTCCTTATGCACACTGTGCTAGATAAGTCAGGGAGAAGGGCAAAAACAGGCAGCATCTTCGTGAACAGTAAACAGCTGTGCTGCTCTCTTCAATTCAAACATTGTCTTTGTATGTCCCTCTGGTATTCACCCCACTTTGGTGACTCCTATTCTAAAGCATCATTTCTGGAGGCTATGGCAAGTCTAGGGAATCCAGAGCATCCTGAGGTTTTGTAAAATTTTCTGTTATACCAAATAGCTACGTAAAGTGTGCTAAGTAAGCTATTATTGTTATAGTGGGGGAAGGGTGGCATGGGCTTTTTGTTGCAATGGCCAGAATGTCAACAGAAGTCAACAGGCTTTGCCCCTCCTCTTCCATGGTTTCTCATGCTCTTACAGGTTACTGGCACTTCAAAATCATTTGTATGGTCTCTCACTAGTTTAGCAGTGGGCAACAAGGGTAATTGGAAAAGGATGGGGATGTTGGACCCCAGTGTCAAAAAGATTCTTAGAAATGCTAGTCATTTGGGGGAGTACACTCATGTCCCCTGAGTGGGTATGAGGTGAATGGAATTCAGCCTTGACGCAGGAATGGGCTTGTTCATATCAGAGATAGAAGGGATCTTCCAGGTTAACTAATCAAACCTGTCCCTTTAAGGAAGAGGCATCAAGACGTTAAGGGAGTTAATTGCCCAAGGTCGCACAGGTAGCAGGGACCAGATCTGGGTTATAAACCCATATCCTCTGGCTAAAAATCTGGTGTTCTTTCCACTTTACAAGCCTGGTGACCTTCTCTTGATAAGGCCAAGTCTGGAAGTTCCATAGTTACCTGAGAGACCTTTTTGGGTGGCAGCTGGGCAGGATTTTGAGGCTAACAACAGAGTTTAATATATATTGACTGTCCCTAGAGTATGGTGGCCCCATGCAATCTCACTCTAAAAAAGTAATGACTCTTCCCTAAACTGAGCAGCAGCAAAACTATGCTTTGGGAAAACAGCAACTTCTGTAGTAATCAAAACATAAGAATCACATTAAGTAGCCAAGTTTTTTTTTCCCCCAATGTAACTTTATTGAAATCTTGACAGTCAGTTCAGTGAGTGTTTCCCAGTTCCCCAAAGTGTTCTCCAACTTATCTATGACTTCAAATCGATAATTATTCTTAAATCAATGTGTGCTTTATAGCTAGATAAGAAAATTAGCCAAATTGTAGGAATTGCATCTTCAGTTCTGTTTTATTTGATCAGTTATTGACTGGTAAGCATACTTAGTTGTTTTTTGCAAGATTCTTAGTAAAGCAAAACAAAATCAGCACCAAATTCCTTTTGGATTGCTATGTGATATTGGCATAGATACAAATTAAACTTGATCTTTCCAAAAATGAAGGAGTATCTCATCCTGCCTTCATCCCTTATGGGCTCTCATCAAGAGTAAAAGTCATGAATCTTGAGATGTTAAGAAGATAAGAGAAATAGGAGCTGCTGTTGGAAAGGACTTGAATCGATCCTGTACTAAAAGTATACAATAGAAACATATAATTAAAAAATAATAATAGCTAACATTTATATAGCACTTTAAGGCTTGCAGAGAATTTTACAAATATCTTTTCACTTCATCCTCATAAGAAGGGGAGGAGTGTGGGGGGGTGGGGATTTAAGGTAAGTGCTATTATTATCATCCCCATTTTACAGATGTAGAAACTGAAGCAGACAGTTGCAAAATGACTTGCCCAGGATCACACAGCTATTAAGTGCCTCAGGCCGGATTTGAATCCAGATGTTCCTGACTTCAGGTCCAGCTCTCTACCTCCTAGACCTTCTCCACATCCTGACAAATTGCCATTCAGTCTCTAAATGTTAATTTCCGTTGATGAAGAGCTCACTGTCTCTTGAGGCAGCCCATTCCCCTTATGGACGGCTGTAAATGTTTAAAAAAAAAAGTTCTTCCTTTTATTGATCCAATCAAATCTGAGGACCTGAGATTGCCTAGTGATTTGCTCAGTGACTGGCCCATACAGCTAGTGTCAGGGCCAGGATTTGAACCTTGTTTCTTTGACTCCAAATTCAGTTCTTTCCACTGAACAAAAAGATCCTAGTTTTGACCCTGGCTGATTCTGTCTTCTCTGAGAAGGGGAATGATCTTTGAGTCCAAAAGGGTTAGACTCAAAATGGCTGAAGTATCAGAGAGGTGAGGGGACAGTAGAAAGATCAACCAGCAGCCCACTGAAGGTTTCTGATGAGATGAAAATACAGTAGTGTATAAGGAAGATGAGTCATAGTACTAAGGAAGAGAGACTATAGCAAGAAGGAACTGGTAACAATGTGAATGGAAAGAAAGAAAAGTATATATAAGCAAACCACCGCCAGGATCCAATAAATTTCAGCTGTCTCTCAAAAGAGGGAAGGAAGATTGACTAATTGGAGGAGAAATGAGGAGGGAAGCTATATTTAATAGGATCATAGCCCTCGAGCAGAAAAGAGACTTAGAGATCCCAGAGTTGTAGAGTTGGAAAGGACCTTAGGTTTCTAGTCCAATCCCCTCATTTTACTTTGAGGGAAAATAAGGCCTAAAGTCATATAGGTAGTAAATGGCAGAATTAGGATTTGAACTCTGGTCCAACTGATTCTAAGCTACATGGCTCTCCACATTACCACACTACCTCCTATTTAATTCAATCTAATTAAAGATTTATCAATCAGCTACTACTCTGTGTCCTTAAGGTATTGTGATAAATCTATAGTATAGATACAAAGACAAAAATGAAAAAGAATCCCTGCCCTCATGGAGTTTACATTCTACTAATCCAGCATAACTGGCCTTGAGTCTGAAGTTTATAAATTTGGTTTCAGTACCTAGACTCGCAAGGTGCTCCAATAGGAAGGGTATGAATATTTAGTCAAACCTGGATATCTAATTCACTACTAGTTCACCACAGACTCTTTTAGAGCAGGCTAGTCACTTTCCCTCTCTTGGACTCCATTTCCTCATTTGTCAAATGAGGGGGACCATGAATTTGGATGGGGGGAAAAAAACCTTTATTTCCATAGAATTAATTTCCTTTGTAACCCTGTGTATTTCATTGTACGCACTGCAGAACACTGCAGCTTCGCCAGGCTGCCAAACCTCTGTGAGCCGTCCGTCACCTCACAGTTTGCTGCTGCTGGCTGGGCTAAGGTGATGTCTGAGGAACTTCAGAATCTCTTTCCAGGAATGTTCTTGGGCTTCAGCGTGAGGGATGGTCTCACCACCCCACAAAACAGGCCTCAGGATAGAAGGAGTCTGTGAGGCCAAACACAAGGGGGAATAGGGAGGCTCTATCAGGTGCCCAGCTCCTGGATAGGACAGCAGGGTGCCATTGCTTTTTCCATGTCTCCTCAGCTGCTCCATTGCTTGCTCAGCATAACATTTGCTATTTAGGTTGTAGTCCTTCTCTCCGACAATGAATAGGATATGACCCTGGGCCCTTTCTACTGGCAAGAGAGCATGCTTATTTGCCTCTTCTCGAGGGCTTCCAAATATAGAACGTATCTCTAATAGCCCCAGATCATTTATTCTTGCCCTTTCGGGAAATATATTGAGTGAGTGAATGTTCTCATTTTTATACTTGATACATCCAACTGAAAAAAAGAAACCATTGATGCAAACTGTGGCTGCCACCTGCTCCAGGAATACTGCCATTGACAATCCAATCTGGGCCCCTTGGCTTATTGAAACTATCCCAATCCTGGGACCAAGCACCTGAAAATAATAAAAATGGCAAGAATGATTCCATTGGTTTTCTTTAGCATTCCAGTCTTACGGACTGGAATAATAACAACTTTCATTGGTGTAGTACTTTATGATGTATATTTCATAAACTATTTTGAATTAAAGGGCATTCAAGTAAACATACGTGTATTAAATACCCAGTTTAGACTGTGTAAAGAGCTTGGGGGTGATAGAGATTTTAGATAACCCCCTCTCCTCTGAAGTTTATAATCTAGTGGGGAAGAATACACATCTGTAGAGAAGACTAAATTTGGAATAAGGTGAGATATGGTCTCTTCTTCAGGCTCTCTGCCTTATACAGTGTGATCTCAAGTAAGTCACTGAACCTCTCTGAGACTTTTCTCATCTCTAAAATGAAAGGGTTGGACTAGATGGTCTCTAATCAGAGATCCAACATCGTAGGTCTGGCTCCTGTGATGAGACAGTTGTAAACCAAATGCCATATGAGTTCTAAGTGCAGAGAGCATTGTTACCACCTGGGGAGAGGAAGGCTTCATGAAGAGTCTGTATTTTAGTTGGTAATTTAAAAGATGGAAAAAAGAAACTGGGGCAGGGCCCCTGACCGAAAATAATAAAAGATTTTGTATATGTGTGTATATACATATATATATATAGATATATATATCTATATATATATATAGAGAGAGAGAGAGAGAGAGAATAAAGAATGGCCTGGTAGTTGGGCTGGAATGAAGAATATATGGAAAGAAAGAACATGATATAAGATTGAAAAAGTAGGGGATACCAGATTGTGAACTCAGTGCCAAGATAAGGAGTCTGAACTTTATTTGTTGGACCATAGAAAGCCATTAAAGGAGTATGAGCAGGGGAGCAACATGATGAGATCTATACATAATGAAAATTAATCATGCAGTAGCACAAAGGATGAATTGAAGCTGTGGGAAAATGAATATGAGAAGATAATTTAGGAAGATATTGTTATAATACAGCTACAGCAATAATTAAAGTCTATACTAGGGTGGCAGCAACAGAGGTATGGAAAAGGAAACAAATTTCAGAGATTATTTCAGAGGTAATATCAGGGCTATGTTGGTATATATTTGACAACCAGCTCTTTGGATAATCCAAATAGTTTGGATAGTCTTTGGGTGTCACAACAATGGCTTTCTTAAGGCTAAACAATCAACAGAGTAATAAAACAAGTCCTGATTTGTAGCATTTGCCAATTTCTGAAGTATCAATACTCACAGTAAACAATCCTCTCTTGTGAGCTGGTACAAACCAACTCCAGAACACTGCTGCTAAGTAAGACATGACAACTGATTGGACATGGGAGTTGAGACAGAGACACAAAGTTTTCAAACATAGCAGACTGGGTGAACGGTAGTGATGAGAACAGAAAAAGTGAAGTCTGAGGAAGCACAAGTTTTGGTGAAGGCTAGAAAGTTGGGTTTGCAACACTGGCTGGATATCCAGGAGGAGATGTCACATAGGCAGGGAAAGGGGCAGGTCTGAAGATTAGGAGAAAATTGAAGTCAGGGTTGGAGAGAGAGGTTTGGGAGTTATCTGCATACTGGTGACTGCTAAAATCATGGCACGGAGAGAGTTCACCAAAGGAGAGAGTATAGTGAGAACTGGTCATAAACAGACCTTTAGGGAACATGTACATTCTGGAGTTCAGAAGAGGATGGGAAGCCAGTAAAGGATTAATTCAGGAGTCAGGAAAAGACCCAGGAGGGTATGCAGTCTGTGAAGCTAAGAGAGGAGATAAGCTCCGGAGAAGGGACTGGTCAGCAGAGTCAAATGTTGCCCAAAGATTAAGGTTGAGCACTGAGACTAAGATCCCCAGTAACCTTTCAGAGAGCAATTTCTATAAAGGGGAGTCAGGATGAAGCAGGTGGGGAGGAGACGGAGGCACTGGTTGTAAGGAGCTTGTTTATAAAAGAGAGAAGAGATAGCAATTTGATCAGGTAAAAGAAGTCATTTTCAACATTGGAAGGATAATGGATAGATTTGCAGGCAATTGGGAAAGGAACGAGTTACAAGGAACGAGTTGCAAAAGATGAGAAGGGACAATGAGGAAAGGAGGGAGGGAAAGGCATGTGTATGGTGGGAGAGGTGAGGGGGAGGTGATAGGAGGAGAAAAACAGAGACAGAGAGAGGGAGAGAGAAATTGAGAGAGGAAGAGGGAGAGACATTAGAGCATGTGTGAAGAGGGAGAGGGAAAGAAATTGAGAGACAGAAGGAGAGAGAGAGAGATGGAAGTGTGTGTGTGTGTGTGTGTGTGTGTGTGTGTGTGTGTGTGTGTGGCAGAAAGAGAGAGAGAGATTGGAGTAGGGGAGCAGGGAGAGGGATGGGGATTAAAGACACAGGTGGAGGAATTAGGTTTAACTGGGAATTGGAGGCTTTTCAGACAGGAAGGCTGGAGGAAAGCTTATGAGATACTGAGAAGTTTTGAAATATGCAGACAAGTTGAGGGAACTCTCCTCAGATGGCTTCGACCTTCTTAATGAAATAAGAGGTAATATCATTAAGTGTGAGTATAGGAAAAGATTTTAAATGAAGAGAATAAAATAGAATTGCCTAGCAGCAGTGAGGGCCCAACTAAGTTTGTACCCCATAAATGTATAATAAGGAAAGAATTTCAAGAGGATATGGCTACAGGGGAAAGTCCATTTCACGGATATGGGCATAAAGACAGGAGAGAATGAAATTGAATGTTTGACTAGAATATAGCAAAATCAGGAGCAGCATGAAAAAAGGCTTAAAAGTGGGTTTGAAATAGCAGATATATTAGGCCAGATAGTAGAAGGGTGGCACCAGTCAGTCAGTCAGTCAACAAATATTTATTATCACTTACTGTGCTAAGTATTGGGGATACAAAGGCAAAAACATGGTCCCTGCTCTCTGGGAATTCATATTCTAATGGGGAAAACAACATGCAAACAACTATGTACATATAAGACATACAGAATAGGTGGAAGGTAATCTCAAATAGAAGACACTAGGAAGGGATGGGGAGGAGGGGAAAACCAGAAAAGGCTCTATCTAAAATCAATGCCTCCATTTCCTCTCCTCTAGCTTGATTCTAAATTCTCTGTACTCTGGCTTCTGACCTCCTCATTTGGTTAAAACTGCTCCCTCAGTTGTGAAATGATCCAACCATTTTGGAGAGCAATTTGGAACTACGCCCAAAGGGCTGTAAAAATGTGCATACCCTTTGACCCAGAAATAGCACTTCTACGGCTATATCCCAAAGAGATCACACAAATGGGAAAAGGACCTACATGTACGAAAATATTCATAGCAGCTCTTTTTGTGGTGGCAAAGAATTGGAAATTGAGAGGATGCCCATCAACTGGGGAATGGCTGAGCAAGTTGTGGTATATGAATGTGATGGAATACTATTGTGCTATAAGAAATGATGAACAGGCTGACTTCAGAAAAACCTGGAAAGACTTGTATGGTCTGATGCTGAGTGAAGTGTGCAGAACCAAGAGAACGTTATACACAATAACAGCCACATTGTGTGATGCCTAATATTGATAAACTTAACCCTTCCTGGCAATACAAGGATCTAAGACATCTCCAGAGGCCTTGTGATGGAAAATGCTATCCACACCCAAAGAAAGAACTGTGGGAGCCGAATTGTTATTTTTTTTTCTCTTCTGTTGAGTTTTGTTTCCTCTTTCTGATAGTTCCTCCTATTGGTTTTAATTTCTACTTGCAACATCACTAATGTGAAAATGTTTAATATGAATGTAAATGTATAGCCTATATCAGATTGTGCGCCATTTTGGGGAGGGTGGTGGGGAGGAAGGGGGAGAAAAATTTTAAACTCAAAAGCATATGGAAGTGATTATGGATAAATCAAAATCAATTAATAAAAAAAAAAACTGCTCCCTCCAAAGTCACTAATAATCTCTGGATTGCCAAATCCAGAGGCCTTTTCTCAATCCTTATCCTTCCTGACCCTTGCTGATCATCCTCTTTTCTTGATGATCTCCCCTCTAGGTTTTCAAGACCTTGCTCTCTCCTGCTTCTCCTTCTACCTGTCTGACAGCCACTTCTTACACTGTTTTGTTGATTCTTCATCCATGTCTCATCCAATAACCATGCGTGTTCCCTATGGCCTGGGCTCTTTTCTCCCACTACACTATCTCACTTGGTGATCTCATCAGCTCCTGTGGGTTCAATTATTAATTCTATTTAGATAATTCCCACATCTCTATATTTAGCCTTAACTTCATTCCTGAGTTCCAGTCTCATATCACCAATTGCCTGTAAGCATCTCAAACTTACAATGCCCAAATGAGAGCTCATTTTCTTTCCCCAAAACTTTCCCTCTTCCAGACTTCCCTATTATTGTCAATGATAGCACCATCCTCCATACTTGAAATGTCAATACCATCCTCAACTCCTCTGCTGTACTCACTCCACCTCTCCAATCTGCTGTCACGTCTTGTCATTTCTACCATAATAACATCCCTCATCTCATACACACCTCCTTTTCTCCACCCAAATCCAGGCCTTCATCACCTCACACCTGGACTACTGCAATAGCTTTCTAGTGGATCTCCCTGCTCAAGTCTCTCCCCATTCCATCTATCCTCTGCCTGATTGCTAATATGCAGATCTGACCATATCACTCCTCTATTCAATTAACTCCAGTGGCTTCCTATAACCTTCAGGATCAAATATAAAATGATCTGTTTGGCATTTAAAGCCCTTCAGAACCTGGTTCCTTCCTCCCTTTCCAGTCTTCTTACTACTTTTTCCACTCCTCACATTTTGCAGTCCAGTAGTACCAATCTGCTTTCTTGCTATTCCTTGTACATGGCATCCATCTCCTCCTCTCTTCCTTTACTCTGGCCATCCTCCATGCCTGGAATGTTCTCCCTCCTCCCCTCCACCTAACCGCCTTCCCTGGCTTCCTTCTAGACTCAGCTCAGACCCTACGTTTGGCAGTGATAGAACCTTCAGCGGCTCCCCATTACCTGCCAAATAAAGTAGAAACTTCTTAGTTTGACATTCAAGACCCCCACAGTCTTGCTACACTCTATCTTTCCAGTGTTATTTCTCACCATGCACTCCTTTTCATTCTGTATTCCAGCTGCACAGTACCATTCACCATTTCTTGTTCTCTGTTATCTCCTCCCATCTCCATGCCTTTGTTCATATCATTTCCCTAAAATGGGGTTCTTCCCCATCCTCAATTCCCAATCTCCACCAGCTGAAATCCTTGACTTCTTACAAGGCCCATCTCTTCTATGCAGCTTCAGCCGTCATCTAGAAATTCTTTCTCCTTGAATTTCTCAGGGCACTTTGTACCTTTCTTTTGTTCTTACGACCTTCTAGTTTGCAATATTCCTATATACGCCATAGAACATAGAACATACAACTCTCGTGGTTATACGTGATTATTGAATCCATCTAGCCCAGCTCACATCTAAACAAGAATCTTTTCTATAATATTCCTTACAAGAAGTCATCCATCTTCCATTTAAAGGCTTCCAGTGACAGGAAATTCACTCCCTTTTAAGGCAGCCTATTTCATTTTTGACTAGCTCTACAGACCAGGTAATTGTTCCTTACCTATGACCAAAATCTGCCACCTGGCAACTTCCAATCATAATGTCTAGATCTGCCCTCCCTGTGTGTCCAAGTCAAACAAATCTAATCTCAATCAATCAATCAATCAGTTAACATGTATTAAGCATTTATGTTCCAGCCACTTTGCTAAGCATTTTCACATATCAGTGGGGTATAGTTTAAAGAGGGCTAGATATGGAGTCAGGAGCCAAGGAGGCTAAATCCTCCTTTGACACTCACTACCTGTGGAACCTGTGTATAGTTACCTAAGCATGTCACATAACCTCTCAAAGCCTCACTTTCCTCAGCTGTAAAATGAGACTAACAGCACCTACTTCCCTGAATTGTAAGGATTAATGAGATCAATTACCAGGCATAATTATCAGGCAATGCATTTACCATAACAAAATTCTAAAGCAAAATCATCTAGAAGTAAACTTGCATGTTAAAAAAAAAAATCACTTTTATTTTTAATAACTGGTAGGATCCTTAAATACCATCTAGTCTTAATCTTCCCCTCAGTCCCATTCTCTAATTCTGCCTATGACCCAGCTGAGGCCCATTGAAGTTAAATAAATTGCCCATGGTGACACAGCTAGTGAGCAGCAGGGGCAGAGTTAGATACCAAGTTTCCTTGGTTCTTCATCTACTTTTGACTCTGCCACACTGTGGGAATTATAGCCACATTTTGTATATAATATCATTATGGCATTTTCTTAATTTGTTAACTTCTCAAGTCAGTTAGCTTACAAAGGAACACTATAAAGTAATAATAATAGCTCACATGTAAACAGTGCTTTAAGTTTTGTCAAGTTCCTTATATACCATCTCTCATTTAATCCTGACAACAAACCTGTGAGGCTTCTTATTATTCTCCTCCATTAGAGTTCAATGACTTGTTCTGTTTACATTGCTAATAAGAGTCTGAGGTGGTCTTCAGGTCTCCCTGACGCCTAAATTTAGAGTTCTAATCACTCAGCTATGCTCTCTTTTGTAGTGAGGCTATGATAATACTAAGTCTCATTCCTCATAAACAGCATCAAAGCATTCACTGAAATAAATACTAGATGAGTATGTTCCTCAAGTGGTTTGGAGAAAGAAACCTAGGTGAGCTGATTAGAGTAGAGCAGAAGAGAGAGAAGTGAACACCTCTGTCTTCCTCTGGAGTAGAAATCACAAGCTTGAAGAAGCAAACTAAGCCAATGAAAGGGATACATAAGAGGGGACCAGTTAGTCATTTGGAGTTAAAGATTACATGAGAAATTAGGGACGAAGGTTTAAACTAAATTGTGAGCTCAAAGTACCTTGGGATGGCTGAGAAGGAAATTAGCGGCTTCTTCAAAGTATTCGATGTCCACGACCTCTGCAGTTTTGGGCAGGTCTTCGTAGGCAAAGTAAGCTAAGGCCAATGCAGCAAAGCCTCGACTGGCCAAGAGACTGGCCCGAAACTCAGTCAGTCCACCAATGTGACCAAATAAATCAATTACTCCAGGGAAAGGGCCTTCTCCTAAAGAAAATTTTAAAAGGATATTGTGGTGAGAAAAGATATGAGGCTACGAGAGAGAGAGAGAGAGAGAGAGAGAGAGAGAGAGAGACAAAGGAAGGAGGAAAGAAACAATATATTCAGAATCTGGGCATCAAAAAGAGAATTTCCCAGTCTCCTCTTATATGCTATATATAGCTGATTCCTTAATCTTACTGCCTGTCTTCTGAGTTTATCCTTTATTTATTCAGTCTATATCTTATTTGCACATAGTTGTTTACTTGTAGTCTCTCCCATTAGAATGTGAGCTGCCCAAGAGAAGGGACTTTTCCTTTCTTTGTATCCCTACCCTTGTATTTAATAAATGCTTGGTGACTAAGTACTCCAGATTTTAGAGGAGAGCTGCTGAAGCTGATGGACCCATTCCGAATACCTATAACTGTAACTTCACAGATAGCAGAACTCACTACCAGAGTAACTCATAAGACTTCTACGACATATATGTCTTAGTTAGCTGCCTGATGCACCTAGATGTCAAGCCAGAGTCATTGAGCTCCTAAGTGTCAGAAGCAGGATTTGAACTCAGATCTATCCTGACTCCAAGCCAGGACTCTAGCTACTAGGTCTAACTACTAAACTTCCTTCTTGGCTCATAATGGAATGAAATAACCAGAATTCTGGATAGGCAAAAAGGCTCTTTGAGACTATAGCAAAGCTTGCTACACACAATTGCCTAGCTCAGAATTAATATGAAGGAGGTAAAGAATGAAAAAAAGGAGGACATTCCATTGATTTCACCTATGAGTACATGAAGCAACCCAGTCTGTAGACATGAGTTTCCAGAGATTGTAACCTAAATTGATATCTGTAAGGCAGAAATCCTGACTGCAGATAGTCCCAACTGTGTTGAACATGTTTCTTTGGTGGGATCTGAGGTCATAGCAAGAATTGGCAAAAAAGCAGGTAAAGAAGGTAAGAAGTGGAGTGTTGGGAGGCAGCATCAAAGGAACAGAATGACGAGATATAAAGGGGAGCCTCTCCTTGTTCTGCTGAGGCTCGATTTTGTTCCTGAATGAAAGTGTCCACTGTACTGAGTAGACTGTGAAACATTCACTTAATGAACCCCACCATCTCTTTTTTTTTTTTTTTTTGAGCAGGTACACAGAGGCCTGTTTTATTTATTCAAAAACCTGAGAGACTTCATCTAATGTTATCACGCTTCAGCTCTGGTTCCAGTCATGGGCATCACCAAGTTGTCTAATGTTATATGTATACTCATTTCGATGCCAAAAACAATCATCAGTGCTGAAGACAATGCCACCATGATTCTGACCAAGCAGAACATGGGATAATGTTGTTTTCCCTGAACCAGGCAGACCCCTTTAACCTCTTCAGCTTTTCCTCTTGGAATTGCTGATTTATAAGCCTGTCTGTTTTCTCCATCTGGAACAGAGAAGGGTCTGCCCAAGATTCTTCTCTTGTTTCACAGAAACCATTCTCATCCATCTTGTTCACTGTGGTCATTTCTAGAGGTCTGTCTGATGCTGTTCCTCCTAACACAATCAGAATATCTGTTAGTCTGATCAAATGTGAGTCAATTCCAATTTGTGTTGCCACTGTTTACATTATATCCATCACATAATTTAACATCTGAGCATGGAAAACATTTGGTAGTGGAGATGGAGAGGGATTAAATCTCTGAAAATTTAAATGATAATTAAAGCCAGAAGGAAAAAGACCATGAGGAACTAAAGAGGATTCCACTGGTTGCCATTCAGACCTAAAGGAAGGAACTGAGTTGTTAAAAAATATAGGTTCCACTTGTCTATTAACTAGATATTCAGTGTTCCAACCAATTGGCTCATTACTAAAATATTGCTCATCGCCAGAGGGTGAATGTATAGTACTAAACCAAGTATCTTTCTTTCCTTCATCAGATTTTAAATTGTTGTTGTAATGGCCTTGATAATATGAAGCCAAATTGTTCCTGAGGGGGTTTAAATTCCTGACAATTGCCTTCCAAATCTTCTTTTTCACTCTCAAGCTCCTGAATTTCTTTGTAAAACTAAGACAACTCATTGTCTATATCCAGTTTATTAGAAGAAGGGTTCTGTTTGTTTTCCACTCCACCAGTGGCTCTGTGTGTGTGATGTTTTCTTTTATCTCATTTATTTTTCTCAGGACTTTTATAACTAGGTCCTTATGAGTGTTTTGTTTGTGCTATATTCTACTTCCTCTCTACTACTTGGGATGGCTACCTTGTGATTTCTTTTCATTCTAATTTCTTTAATATTTCCAGACACTTAAGTACAATCATTTCTGGACATTTCACTGATGTTCATGGATATTACTATAGGATTTGCATGCTGTAGGCCTTCTGAATGAAATGATTTAATAATATCTGGCCTATTGTAAGAGATTACATCCCCCAAAGGTCTCAACAAAACTGTAGTTTCAGTCTTGCTCTCCTGAGTTTTTCCATTTTCCTTGTCATCAAAGATGGATAAAGGTATCCATTTGTTTTCTGTTTTCTCTTAGGATGTGTGAAAATGGTCACCACCATCATGGAGTATAGTATAGGCCTCTTCTGTTGATTTCAGTTTTTTATTGCATGTTTCACTTTCTAGGTGGTTTTTTGGTTGGTTTGTTTGTTTGCTTGCTTGCTTGTTTTTTACCAAGTTCCAAAGACTTGGCTTAATTTTCACAATAAAGCCTCTGTGAGAAAGGAGAAAAGCAAGCCTGGGGCCTCACCACTCTTGGGGCTGGCAGCCCCGGGTGAGCCCGTGGGGCTCCATACACAGCTGGCAGTGTCTAGGCCCTCTCACAAGGTGGCGACTGCTCCTTCGACCACCACCACCCCCCATCATCTCTTTTAACTCAGTGGTTGGAAACCTCTAAGACAAAAAAGGCCAGGCTCCTACACAATGAAGTGTGTCCCAAGTTACCTGTAGGTCACCAGGCTACCTCATCCCATCACAAATCTCAATAGATGGTGGGTAGGAATGGAAAACAAAGCCATAACCAGCAATTTGTAGGACTGTGTCCTACAAATGGGGAGGGGCATGCTCACCTAGGGTGTGGCTTCTGGAAGTAAAGAAGACTTGACCTGAAATATTATGAGGTGCCTATGAAACTGGATCGACAGCTACTGGGCCGATGTGTGGGGGGAAGGGTGTAGGGGAGGTGTTCTTGTGGGGAAGGTGGAGATTGGCAGGTGGAAGGTGGAAGGCAAGGATCAGGTAGGACACTCTGGGACACCATTAGCTTTCTAAGCTATTGAAAAGAAAGAATTCCAAGCAAGGAGGGAACAGCCTTACAAGCTGTTGCTGTTGGTACCCTCTAAATTTCCCAACCTGGGTCAAAGCCCCGCCACCTTCACCCTAGTTATAGCTCTTCTTGTGAAACTGGAAGCAATATTAATTGATGCAATGAATTAACAAGCATTTATTAATTTCCTATTCTGTGCCAGACACTACTAGCACTATGGAAACAAAGACAAAAATGAAACAGACTCTACCCTTAAGGAGCTTACATTCTGATGTAGGAGACAACCTGTACATATGTAAGTATATACATAATACATAGAAGATTAATACAAGGTAGCTATCGATGGGAGAGCATTAGCAGCTATGGGTATATGAAAAGTTTCAGGTAGAAGATGGCTCTTGACCTGATTCTTGAAGGAAAATAGGGGTTCCAAGAGGCAAAGATAAGGAAGGAGTATGTTCTAAGTATAAGGGACAACTAATGCAAAGGGATGGAAATGGAAGGTGGAACATCCTGGGTGAGGAACAATAAGCAGGCCCACATGGCTACACCAGAGAGTTTGGGAAGGAGAGCAGTGTGTCCGAAGAATGGAAAGGTAGGAAATGGCAAGTTGTGAAGAGATTTTAGTAACAAACAGAGGAGTTTGTAGTTCATCCTAGAGTTAACAGGGAGTCACTTCTGTTTACAAATAGGGAGTAATATGATGAAACTTATACTTCAGGCAATTCTCTTTGGTCTTAGATGGAAGATGGATTGGTGTGGGAAAGAGATTTAAGACAGAGAGACCAGATAGAAGGATCATAGATCACAAATTTATAGCTGTAAGGAACCATAGAAGACGCTGTATATAACTCCCTCATTTTATATATGAAGAAACTGAGCCACAGAGAGGTCAAGTGACTGGCCCTGAGTCACACAGCTAATGCATGACCTTCTGAGGAATGGTTCAAACTCAGGTCTTCCTGTCACCGAGACCAGCATTCTTCTTATCTGCTGTACTCAGACTATCACCATAGAACATGAGAAAAATGATGGTCTGAACTAGGAACAAAGTTATGCGAGTGGAAAGAAGGGGTTGCATATGAGAGATGTAGAGAAATAACCAGATTTGGCAACTGATTAGCTATGTGGGCTGAGTAAGAGTGAGAAATTTAGAATGACAACAAGGTTACAAACCTGGTTGACTCAGTCTAACAATCAATCAGTCAATAAACATTTATTGTTTGGCAACTGGAAGTAATGGGCAGCTAGGTGGCTCAGTGGATGGAGTGCAGGGGCTTAAATCAGGAAGACTCATTTTCCTGAGTTCAAATCTGGCCTCAGGCACTTACTAGCTGTATGACCCGGAGCAAGTCATTTAACCCTGTTTGCCTCAGCTTCCTCATCTGTAAAATGAGCTGGAGAATGGCGATGCACTCCCAGTATCTCTGCCAAGAAAACCCCAAATGGGGTCATGAAGAGCCAGACACAAGTGAAAATAACTAAACAACAACAAAACTGAAAGTAACTGGAACTCCACAATAAGGAATTCTGAAAGGAGGTGGGGTTTGGGGGCTGGGGACAGAGGGCAGGGAAAACAATGAATTTTGTTTTAGGCTAATTAAGTTGGCCCTCAATGAATATTGCATCCAGTTTGGAATGTCCAATAGGCAGGGTGGGAAAGGTTTAGAAGTTAGGCTTCCACAGCAGAACACAGGAATTCTAAGGAGGACTTCCTTCCAAGATCTTGTGGATGGATAGTCACTCAACCAATCAGAAAGTGCCCCAAACACTCTGCAAACAACTAGTTCCTTAAGACAGAGCCCTGCTAAACCGTTTGCAACGGGTCGGGGTCAATGATGGAGCAAAGAGTTTTCTCCACTGTGCTTGCTTAATAAGCTTATTGAATATTAACTGACACACCCCGAGGGCGGAGATAGCTGCCATTTTTTAACATGAGACGTATAATCCGGGAGGAGTGAACTTGACAGGGAGTAACACGGAGAAACATGGGATGGGTGGTTCAGAAGTGTAAACCAAATGAGCTGGTCCAATCCCAGCTCAAATGGGAGAAGGATGGATTTTACTAACCCTTTAAAAGTTGACTCTACTTCTGTACCAGTGCACACGTGCCACTAGGGTGCAGTGTGCCTGCTTCTCTCAAGAAGTGTAAAAGGGTTTCCTTCACACGCTCCTGTAGTAGATTTTTTTTGTTTGTTTGTTTCAGATTTTTCTAAAAGGCAGTTAGTGCTGTGGGACTGGAAGTCAGGGGGAAAACTAAGGCTGGATCTATAGGGAAAATCTGCTTGGAGAGGAGAATTGAACCCATGGAAGCTAATGGTATCACCAAGTGAAAGAGCAAAGAAGAAAAGGTGGTGAATGGAAGCAGCGTGCTAGTTCCAGGTCGGTTATATGTCCTCAGTCTGAACTGCCATTTCAGACATGGGAACAGGAGCTAGATTGAGCCCCAGGGGTTGGGATAGGGAGCGTGAGCCTTTTCCAGATTTCTAGGCTCAAATGGAGCCTGGAAACTTTGTTGGTCAGTGTGAAGGAGTAACACAAGGGCTTATGAGCAGGCAAGTGACTGTGGCCTAACTCTAGCTCCAGAATGGTTTACATCAGCCTAATGTTTGGGACTTCGCTACAAACTGGGTATGATCCAAAGACAATCTCTCATGCTGAATTCTGAGGACACTGAGAATATTATTACTCACCTCTAAGCTATATGCTTGAAGAGAGAGAAGAGAGAAATTAGATTGAGAATTAGTGAATAAGAATGACTCATTCAATACTCACCTGGTGGGAGAAAGAGAACTCCTCTAATTCGACCTTCCCTTATCTGGATTCTTTGTACTCCAGGTGCTGAGTACCATCGCTCCACAGTCTCACTGGCCTTCAGAGATCCAGGTGATTCTTTGAAAATGATGTTTGAATCATGTACTGACAGCTGAACTAGGAAGGGACTGTTTATCACATCCTGTTTCAGTAGCCTAGTTAAAATCTTCTTAGGTTTCAAAGACCAGAAGAGGCCCATAGGATGAATGCCCACATAGTCCCCTCCAAGTGCTGCTGCATGCTCCAGGTCTATCTCTCCACTTTCATCAGCCTTATAGAACACTTGAGAATAAAAGTCCTCTCCTTTTTCATTCGTCAATTTTGCCTGCAGCACTACCATCTGGTTAGGGAGCAGGCTGGTCACTCGGATGTGTAGTGGTTCATCAATAAGAGCGATTTTCGGGTGGACTATTATCTGGGCCATTGTTAGAATCCCAAACTAAAGAAGCTTCTACTGGACAGTTTTCAATCAAACCTGAAGGTCTAAAAAAAAAAATTAAAAGAAATTAATGTAGTGGTATTGTTTAGCAAGAAAGACATTGAACTGAGACACAAGAGACCTGGTTTTGAGTCCTGGATGGGCTAATTATCTATGTAATCTTTTTCTTTTTTTTTTTTAATTTTGAGTTCCAAATTCCTTCCCTTCAGCCTCTCCCCTACCCATTGAGAAGGCAAGCAATATGATACCCATTATTCCACCTGATCTTAAGAAGAAAATTTTCTATGCATTTTTCAGCTGAGGTTTAGAATTTGGGATTGGCGATCCAAACGTGCTTTACTCTATTGGCTGCAAATTTACTCTATGACACAAAGTTAAATGACTTGTCCAAGATGTCACTTAAGATCTTCAACTTCAGTTAGAAATCAATAAATAAATCAATTAACAAGCATTTATTTATTTAGCACTTACTATGTGTGAAGCACTGAGAAACCAAGAAAACAAAAACACAGTCTCTGCCCTCAAGGAGCTTATATTCTAATGAGGGAGGCAATATGCAAAGAATTCTGTACATTATATATACACACATCTTGTGCAAAGGGCTACCAATGTCTGAGAGAAGACACGGGGGGGGAGGGGGGGAAATGAGACCAGGAAAAGCCTCCAATAGAAGGTGGGAAACCAGCTAAGCCTTGAAGGAAGCTAAAAAAGGAGGCGTTGAGGTGAGGAAGATTCCAGGCCTAGGGATAGGAGTGCAAAGCCCATTGTAAGAACATGGAATGTTGGGTGAAGGTGGGTCACTGTAGCATGGAAGGGAGTAAGTGTAAAAAAGCATAAAAGGTAGGAAGGGACCACTTTGGAAAGGTCTTTCAATGCCAACCAGTTGACTTAATATTTGCTCATGTAGTCAGTAGTGAGCCACTGGTATTTATAGAGTAGAAGGATGACATGACAGACTCCCTCATTTTTTTCTCAAAGTGGAATTACACACTTACTGTTGAAACATAATCAGGTTCCATCACCACACATCCATATTAAACGCATTTCCAGGTGCCTGAGGCAATACATGAAATGCCAACCTCTATGGTATCCCCCACCCCCTCCTACCCAGGGATTCACAATCTGAGAGAGAAGAACTAGAGGAAAATGGCACTGTCAATAATAATTTTAAAAGTTAAGCTCTAAAGACACAGATAAAAGTTTGTGCCATATGAGGAGGCATGGAGGTATGGAGTGGTTGCCATCTAACCATGGGTAGGCTCTATTAAGATAGTAGCAGAGCCAGGGCTGGAATTCAGGTCTCTTGACCATCTCTGTTATAATGTATATCAGATAGACAGACAGACAAAGATATAGATAGATAGAATTTCTAGGGGAGGTTTTGTGATGCGCTTCATATGTGGGAGATTGAAGGACCCCAAGGGCTGCCACAGTGGAAACTGAGTCTTCAAACTATGCAAAAAGAGGTACCAGCTCACTATGCTTTCCAGGCTGCAGGAGGAAGCCACATAAAAGGCTAGTAACAGGGTGAGATGCAGTGGGCAGGGTCAGCTCACTCCTGCACCCTTTATCTGTTCCATGGATTCCTCCCTAGAGAGAGACTTTTGTACTGCCTTCGTTCCATGCTGTTTGGAATGACTAGGTTTTCTCTGTGGGAGAGGCCTGCAGTCACTGGCTGTTTGTGGTTTCTGCCACAGCTACTGAAGCACTGCACCTGCAGCCCAGGTTGGGGGCCATTACTAACTAGTTAGAGATCCTGGACAATCAAAGTAGTCAAAGGAGGTCTGTAGTGGAGACAAAGTCCAAGGTATAGGGATACAAAACAAGCTAGTAAAATGGAATGAGTCTGCACCAGCTATGAAACTCTTGTTGCAATGAAATAAAGTCAGAGATTAATCCTAAACCCCAGCTTTTTCTCCTTTTATCTAATTTCTTGATGAGATAATCTTGACAAAGTTTGAAACGCACAATTCCTTTCCTATTCTTTCCCCTATCTAGGGTGAAAAGAGACAATGAGAAAGAGAGAGACACAGAGAGAAAAACAGGTAGAAACAGAGACAGGTTTCGACCACCTGTGCCTGGCCTTCAACCTCTGTCCATAAAATCGAGAGGTGCCCTGGAGCTAGCTGTGTCAACTGTTAAATTTTCAGATGAACATTTACACTTCAAAATCAAGCTACAAATCAGGCCTTGACATATTGTTTTGTTGATTTCTAGACTTAAGAAAGTGATGAAGCAAATGTTAATAATTTAAATTAAATTTAAAAGTGTGCTATAGGCACTTTTTTTTTCCAGAAGCGCCTGTTGTTAAATGTACCAGCATACCCATTTATTCTTCCACAAACACTCTGTAGAGGATCTACCCAATGCATCGAAGGCCTTTAGAGTTTTAAGTATTTCCTGTATATCCATGTAGCACTCAGGCTGTCTGTCTATTAAAGTGCAGTTGAAAAAGTGATGAATTTAGAGACAGAAGACCTAGGTTTGAATCCTGATTCTGGCCTGTGTGATAATGGGCAAGTTATTTAAGCTCTCCTGGCTAAAGTTTCCTCATCTGTAAAATGAGGGATATTGGCATAGATAAATCCTAGCACACTTCCCTTGGCCTTCAGCTAGACCTGTGTTCCTCTATTCCTAGAACCTATGCTTCTTTTAATGCAATTCAAGTGAATTCAACATTTTATTTAGTATCTGCTACTTACAAGGCACTGTGCTAGAAAGCTGCAAGAAATAAAACTACTTGGCCCCAAGGAGCTCACAGGCTAACCGGTGGGCCTAGAAAGGCTAACCAGGGCAGAGTGAACTTTTCTTTCACATTATGTTAATTTCAACTATCACCATCAAGAGAAAGAACTGATAAATAGAAGTATGTATAGAACAATTTGACATAGATATACACCTATTTGTGTCTAATGGTAGCCATGGGAAGAGAGGGAAAAGGAAGGGAAAAAAAGAAAAAAAAAAGAAATTTACATGATAATTTTGTTGCATATTTGAAAGGAATAGCAAGTTGTGCATAGTAGATTTGCAGTTTCATGTGCTGTCATCTTTTTTATTATACTATATTATGGAAATGCTTGTTTTATTCCATAAATTAAAAATAATAAGTAAATGATGATTTCAAGTCAGAAGATGTGAAGATTATTATCCACCTCCAGAATAAGGGAACTTTATAAAACAAATAATCTTTGAAGAAAAAATTTAGCCTAGAAGTGTGAAACCTTGCTCCTGCAATCAATTTGTTTACTCTTCCCCTCAGTAATAATTACCTTTCCCACTAAGTTATAAGAAAAAAGTGTGTATCATTCTCAATGAGAATATCATCATCTGCCAGAGCTGAAATAGTACCTTCACATTCTCTCCATTAACTGTAACATGTTTCCTCCCTCTGAATCTCTATGATTCAAATAAATGTGACCATTCATTATTGCAGAGAAAATGCACTTAAATTAGGGCATGCCAGCAGGATAGGATAAATAAGTCCCTTTCAATATATACAAAGCAGAAAGTAGGAACTATGCCTTGTAAATGCTCAAGTTCTAGGTAAACACAAACTTTGAACTGAAAAATTGTTTTCAATTCCTAGCTGCTCCACAAGGGATTTTCAAATCTCAGTTTAAAAGTACCTGGTCTGAAGCTTTTGAAACTGCAGTTGATTCCTGAAAAAGCTGGTAGCAGGCTTTTCCCACTGTCCCTTCTCTCCAGTAGCTGATAGGAAAATAAACAAAAAAAACTTTTGTTCCCAGTCGCCAGACTTCAGACATTCAAAGGTGGGCTCTTTAGCACTAAAAAAAGAGTGCCTCCTCTCAGGTTGTTTTCCTTTACTAGTACCTCTTAGAAGAGTTCACTGTTAATCATTCCTAATCGAGCTGTAACCTGAAACCTCCCTTTCCTTTCCCTTCTGTTTTCAATTCTGTTCCTTTTGTAACCTCAGTCCCAAATACCATTGATATGGGACTCTCATTATTGGTGGAAACATTGTCCTGCCCTTTGTGAGGGGTGGGGCAGAGCTGGCAAGAGGAAAAGAACTTCTCTCTCTCCAGTTTTTCGGGCCCTGCTGTCTCTTGGGTGCTTCTGGCTTCCAACTTCAAGAATGAAGAGAGAAGGGACCAACCTCCACTTCGAGTCTTGAAGAAAAAGACTCCAGGAAGACGTGATAGGACCTAGCAGTTTCTATCATGCCCCTATTGCCAGTGTACTTCGCTAGAAACTTCAGGAACTCTCTTGTTTGAACTGAGTTACCTTCCCCCAAAGGGAGAACTCCTTCATTCTCTATTGTCTAGTATAGATTCTCATCTGTTTACCTTCTCTGATTTCTGTCTTGTTCCCAATTTTGATAAAGGGGTTTTCTTGGCTAAGTATGTGTGTTCAGAAGAGAGTCACACCTTGGGCATAAAGTTTACCTTCCTCCTTACCCCCAATAATAAAACAACAACAAGAAGTTAGCTAAAAACTGAAAATAACATTCTCTAGACTATTAATATTTAAGGGAAAACATACATATATTTCTAGCTTGGTGTCCCCTCTCTGTGAGGAAAAGAGAGTGGCCAAATTTCTGTTTTCCCTAACCTCCTATTATCCTTCTAGCAGGAATTAAAGTTTCCTTTGGAGAAGGGGAGGAGGAGAAGAGACTAGAGCTGTCTTTTCTTCCTCCCTTCAAGTCACTCAATGACACCCCCACCCTCATGCTATATGTGATGAATAACTCTAATCACACATGATTTTCCCTTTTTTCCTTAGGCCAGACTATGTGATTTGCCAATTTGATTAAATTGACTAACCGAGTCGGATAAAAAAAATTTTTTTAAAGAAGTTTACCATTAGTACCATTTTCTCAAGTCAGAAAATTTGTACCTGACGAAAACATTCAAATAGTCTCAAAGGGCCATAATTCAAGCAGGCCCTGCTTGGGATACTTCTTCACCTGGGCTTTGAGATGGTCTAAGGGCTACAAGCTGGACTGGCCCTGCTCTAGATTCTAGAGGGCCAGTACACACTATCTCCCATCTCCTTACTAGGTTTCTGACCACAATGCATCTTTCCCAGATGGGAGACACTAGAATTGCAGAATTACAGAATTTAAGAATTTGGAGAGACCACAGCAGCCATCCTGTCCAATCCATAGTCCAAAGGAATGTCCACTATGTACTACACAAGTAAGCATCCAGTCTCTGTTTGAAGACCTTGAAAGAAGAGGAACTCACCACCTCTTGCAGCAGCCCATTCAACTTTTGGACAACTCTAATTGTTAAAAAAAGTTTTCCTTGACATCAAGCCTAAATTGGTCACTTAACAACTTATACGGATTTCTAAGTCTGCCCTTTGGGATGAAACAAATCATACAAATCATAGGATCACAGATTTAGAGCTGGAAGAGATTTAGAGGAAATCAGGTCTAATCCCTCTTGTACCTTCAGGTTCTTTACCACGCACATTGGGTGTTTCCACTATGAATTTGCCTTTCTCCAAGCTAAACATGCTCAGTTCTTTCCACAATCTTCATATATTTTGGACTTATAACACAACCAATGAAATCATCAATGGGTATAGATATGCCACACCATGTAAAGGGAGGTGTGATGGCAGTACAGGGTGAGGTGATATATAATAGCTATCTATACTCTGTAAGACAATATATATATATTGCACCCCTTGCATAGGGTATGTTGATACCCACTCACTCTCTGGATTGGCTCATTCAATCCAACTTTCCCTCACCATGGGAGGTCTAAATTCCCAGAGATAGACTAACACTACAACATTACCCTCAAACTCTCTAAGAATCCTAGGGGTAACCCTTGAGTGTTGAACAATTCTTCTAATCACTTCTCTTAACTCTGAAGGTCCCATAGATAAGTTTTCTACCTACACAACCAACCACAGTGGGTGACATTTATACAGTTAATACCTAACAATACTATAAAGTACATCAAAGTGTCTATATCTCTAGGCTATTTAGACTAGACTAGCCAGTTATTCCTTCACTCAAGTTTTGTGTTGACCATTCAAAACAGAGCTCCCAACAATATGGCTCAGTTTGATTCAGCCAAGTAAACAAACCCAGCCAGGATACAAAATCAGTTACAAAACCTGTTTGCTTTTTATTCTCAAGCCAAAGGTGGAAACTAAGAGCAAAGACTGTGTCATTGAAAGGAAATATCTATCACTTAAGTTCTTGGCCAGTGGAGTCAATTGTCTCTCCCACAAGTCAAGAATCGCTTAGAGGTTGTCTCATAACCGACTGCTTCTAATTTCCACAGGTCCAACAGAGCAGCTTCTCATCTCCTCATTTATGTTTCCAGTTCTTCTCTTCCTATACTGGGAACCTAGATCTGGTTTCTATATATTTCAATGGCTTCCATATTCTAGTGACTCACTTTTCACTTAAAAAGTCACTGCTCCTCAAATTTCCTCTGTCAAATTGATAGTCTTTTAAAAATCATATATCAGTCTTCAAATGTTTATCTGAAGCCTAGTTTTTCTAGTTTTACCCTTGTTAGTCATAATGCAAATGAGCCAAAGTACCATAAAGCTTTGCAGCTCGAAGTCTTCAACACAGTGCTTCAGTTCCTTTGGTGTTTTTGATGCTGTTTCTTTACAACTGTAATTCTCTAGTTTTTAAAATAAATATAAGATCTTTCTTGACCTCTTTAAAATACAAAAGTATTCACATAGAAGTAAGGCATTCAGGGTGATTTGAGTCTTTCTATTTATAGCACAATTCATTTTCTGTCTAAAACTGCTCAAATTCTAACTAAAAGTAATGCTTTTTCATACATACACACACACACACACACACTTTAACAGTTGATATAAATACTTCTTTTTAAACAAATAATTCTTTCATTCCTTTCAACCATAAACTGCTCCATTTGTCTTAAAGGGACAGTGTACCTTATAGTATCAAGTTCTTTCACCATCTTGAATACCATTCTCTAGAGCAGGGGTGGGAACCTTCAGCCTCCAGGCCACACATGGCCCTCTAGGTCCTCAAGTGCAGCCTTTTGACTGAATCCAAACTTCACAGAACAAATCCCCTTAATAAAAAATTTGTTCAGTAAAACTTGGACTTAGTCAAAAGGCTGCACCCAAGGACCTAGAAGGCCACATATGGCCTCAAGGCCACAGGTTCCCCACCCCTACTCTAGACACTCTCTAGCTTATCAATGTCCTTCTCAAATGAGAACTGAACACAGCACTCCAGATGAAGTTCCTAGAACACAATGTTCCTTTGTTCCTAGAACCTAGGCTTCTTTTAGTACAGACCACGATCACATTAGCTTTTTTGGCTGTTACATCACACTGCTGACTCGTGTTGAGCCTGCAGTTCACTCATCCTTCATGTTTTACTTGGGAAGTTGATTGTACCCAAGTACAAGACTTGACATTTATCCCTACTGAATTTCAGCCTGCCTCCATCTCGAGTTGGTGGTTTCAGTGATAAACACCACAGGAGACCCAACTGTTCATCCTCTGTGCCAAATCCTGAAGTATCTGAATTTGAAAACCTCCTAATACTACAAGAGTGTATCAACCAGATGGAACTGGCCTCTTACCTGTGGATGGCCCGAGCCGAACAGAGCAGGCTAGAGACAGGAAAGTCAGGAATCAAACAGAAGTTTAATTTCAAAATGAGGGAAACAGCTTGCAAACAAGGAGGCAGATTAGACACATGCTAGGACCTCTTTCCTAGTGAGGGGGGATCTGAGGCAGTAGGGGTGAACCTTGATTTATATCCTTGTAGCTAGACAAAGAGTCAAACAGGGTGGTATAGCAAGTGAGGCACAACAGCAGCAGTGAGGCAAGGTTGTCTAGTGACAAAAAGTCCGTTCATAACAGGGCTTTATGTCTGGGCCTATTGGTGCTTGCCTGAAGCTCAGGGACCATCTGATCCAGAAGATGAGCACAAAGGATTGTTGTTAGACCAAGCTCAGGGCACAGTTTGCTTGCTGGGGCTTAGCTCTGAAAAACAGAGTGTCTCCTTTTTTTTCCCTTTTTATTTTTTATTCTTTTAAATAATTAATTAATTTAGTTTTAGTTTTCAACATTCACTTCCTTAAGATCTTGAGTTTTAAATTTTCTCCCCCTCCCTCTCGCCTTCCCCCACCAAGACGGCGTGCAATCTGATATAGTCTCTATACATTCACATTAAGCATTTTTTTCCCATTAGTCATGATGTAAAGAACAATTAGAACTAATGAGAGAAACCATGAGAATGAAGCAATAAAACAAAACAACAAAGGAAAAGGAGAGCAAATAGTATGCTTCCATCTGCATTCAGACTCCATAGTTCTTTCTTTGGATGTGGATAGCGTTTTCTATCATGAGTCTTTCGGAGTTGTCTTAGACGCTTGCATTGCCGAGAAGGGCCAAGTCTATCGAAGTCAGACACTGGATGTCTCCTAATAGTATCTTGACAAATGGAAGGATAAATGGAGGCTGGAACTCAGCCAAGAAGAAAGGTTTATCCTCATTGCTTGGGTGGGATATGGAATATGCTCGAGTTGCATCTCATCCGCTCTCCAATTCCAGACCATTCAGAGAAAGATCTAGGAGGATTCCTTTGTTTGTGATGGAAGATCTTAGAATCCACCTCAAAAGAAATGCTGGTTGAAGAGGAGCCAGATCAGGGAACAGGAGCAGAATCTCACCTGAGACCTCCCCAACTCCCCTCTAAACAACTTTAAAATAACACCTCAAACCAAATTCTGCAGTGGCAGAATCAACAAAAGCTCAGGTCAAACAATTTGCCACCGGAGACAATTTTGGAGGTCTGCAAGAAAGGTCTATCTCAGCAGGGTGCTGGTTGGCTTGGAGTGCAATTTAGGCCCCACTGTCGGTACCAGCAGCAGGCCTTGGGGGTAGCTGCAATTGTTTTGGG